AGTATCTGATGGTGATGATTAAGTGAGCGAGTGGCTTTCATTGGTGGGATTGGATCAAGATGAACAGAGAAGACAGAGAAACTGTTGTAAATTAAAAGAAGCATGATAAGAAGACCTAGAAGAGACATGGGAAGACAACAAACAAAAGAGACCAACAATCTTTTCAAGCTCTGCAATAACACAACTTGTTCTGTTCTTTTGCTCTGTTCCATCTTTTTGAATTCCTCAAAACAAATTTTGCAAAAGACAGAGACTTTTTTCTGTAAGAATATTTTGTTTTTAGGACAAGAGAGGGTGTGTATTATGTGATGATAATTGTTTGTTGAGTAAGAAAATAAACAAATGATTTGTAATATATTGGAAATACAGATATATGTATCATGTACGTAAATATCAATTAAAAAAATGGCGAAAGAGAAAGATTACCTACACAAAATGTAGTATATAATAATAAGTGCAATGGATTACTATACTAATCATCTAAAGAGTGTGGTTAGAAGTTCTAGTTTTGATTTATCAAACGTCTATAATTAATGAAAATGTTATGTTAGGTTTTATATAATATAACGAGATAATTAGTTGCAAGTGCCACCACCGTGTCACTATCCAAATTCAAACTTACATATTACATGTTATTGAAAGAAGAACAAAATAAACCAAGAAACTTTGATCAACAAATTCAAGGCCAAAAATGATTAGATATCTTTTCATGTATTGTGTTTATAAAGATAGTTATTTGGTTGTTTCTTTTTAATTATGAATCATATAAGGTGACCATGAATTTTATAAATCTTGTTTGATTGTTTCTTATAAGTTATGACACTTGCAAGATAGTGTCCAGGCGTGGTGACGACTTTAACCGGTTTCTTGTGCAAATGAAACACTAATTATTGACTGACCATATGCAATAATAAGGTTGGTTGTTTGAAAAATGTATTTTAAAATGAAGGTATATTTTCTAGTGTGATTGAATGATTAAAATAATCACTGTTATTCGTAAACAAATATATGGGCATAATAATGCTAAAGAGATTTTATGGATTTTAATGATAAGTCAACACTTTTGTTTTGTCTGTTTCGAGTAATTCTTTTAATCACCAACAAAAAAACATACAGTAGTAGTTTATTTTCATCATCTCTTTTAAACTTAGATTACCTTCAAAATTGTTCACGCGACGGAAAAAAAACCAACATATTCGCCTAATTTTAAAGCTGCATAAGACTTGGTTTCTAATCTCATGCAGTCATTACACTAATCAGGAAAGTTCACATGAAAAAAAAAAACGAGTACAAAAATATTTCAGGAAAAACAAATTGCTCTAAACATATAGAGTACACAAAAAGATGGAAAGATAAAAACGAACCAAAGACGCAAATTTTAGAAGAAGATGAACAGTGACAAGACTTTGAATGACATAATCCCATTAATCAGAGAAGACCTCTTCTTCTCTTGTAATCACTAACGGTTAACGTAAGTCCATGTCTCTTACCATCATTCTCAGCAACTCTGCATCCCACTGTTGCTTCTGTCACCTGTTTCCTCGCAATGAACGCTTTCTGTACTCCTTGAGGTCCTCCATACTTCTGCAACGCCGTTAGCGATAACGGCAATTCAAAGTTATGAAGCAGATTGTGTTCTGCTCCATGACTTATTGGGGCTCTTGTGTCTATTAGCTTCCCTGCCTCTGCAGCCGCCTCTAAAGCCGCTTCAGTTGCTTCAACACCCGCTCCTGCATCTGCTCCATTGGTCTCAACCGCTGTTGCAACCACTGCCTCATTCTCAATTCCGTCTTTCCCGCTGCTTTTACCGTTGTAGTAGTTCGATGAACGGGTCCATCTCCTTGAAAACGGATCATACCCAGCTTCACCGGCCTTGAGACTAGCTGTAAGTGATTTTACCTCAGATGCGTTTTTGAAATTCTCGGCTCTGTTCTTCTTGTTCATCTCAGCAAGTTTAAGCGCTTTTTTATCGACATCTTTAGTCATCCGTGATGCCTCGAGCTGTTTGATTTTCGTTTTGATCCTCTCTACACCTGCTTCATCGTTTTTGCTCTGCGCAATTTCTAATTCTTTTCTAAGCCGATCTTTCTCAGCCGCGATATTCATTGGCCTGACCGAAGCGGATTTTTTCTCCTGTAACATCTGTTTGACGGTTTCCGCTGAGTAAACGAAACTGTTTATTCTTTTGATAGCTTCTTTCTTCTCTGATATATCATGCTTTGTGGGAATGCGCCCATTTGTTCGCTCAACTTCTCTGATCCATTGCCTATACTCTTCCTCCAGCGGATGCCCATCTGAGATCATTGCCATTTGCCATCGAGCAGACGAGTTTTCATTTCCCCAGATGACGTTTAGGTACTTGTGTGTAGTTTTGTTCTCAAGCTTGTAAGTCTTGTCTGGATCGGTTGCATCAACATTCTTCACCATGCAGAGCCTGTAAATTGGACCACTCTTCGACCTTCCAATCCCAACCCTCACAAAGCACCCAACGATAAGCTCTTCAAAAAAAGGCTCCATTAACCATTTAGCAAGCTTAGACCGTCTGATTGTAATTTCCTTAATATCCTCAAACGTAGGCACATCAGACCTGTCATCATCACTGTCGAGCATTCCTCCATTTGAGCCTTCACCGTCGCTCTGAGACCTACTATCACTGTCACTTTGGCTAGAGCTACTCAAATTAGAGGAAGCTAACGGTTTCCTCTTTGTTGATGAGAAATCTCTGCTACCTGAACCACCTTTGGATGCATCTCTCATTTTCCTGAGAGCAGCCGGGTCCTGCTGCTTCATACGCTTTGCCCTCAATTCGTTAAGAGCATCATCCTTTGCAGCAGCTCGGTCAGCAGATCTAGCAGATGAGCGCACACCACGAGAGGCCACAAGAGGCTGGGTCTCCTTTTTCGAAACAGGAGTCTTCTCGCTTTCTCTCTTTGATCTAAGTTTCTCAGTGAAGTTCTTATCACCTTTCTTATCAGCACGTTCAGCCAGAATCATCTCCCTCTGAAATTCAGTCATTCCAGCAAGCTTCTGCCGGTCTTCTTCGTTCTTATAAAGATCATCCCCGAAATCAGATTCCTCGCTGCTGTCACCTTCGCGATCAGATGGGCCATCACCGTAACCGCCTTCGTCCCGGGCAGCAGCTCGATCTTCTCTCTCTGCTTCCAATCTCTTCTTCAAAGGTACTTGAGAACCAGAAGGTTTCCTGCTTGCATAGCCACGATCTTCATCAGAATCATCTCTTGAATCACTACCACCATCCGAGTAAGAACCCTCACGTCTCCTTGACGATGATGGAGGATTAGAATGTCGACCCCTCCCAGCTGCATTCGTTCTCCCAGCAGCTTCCAAAAGCAAGTTTTCTAAATCAGCCATAGCTTCTGAGGAGGCTCACCAATGGTTTTGCAATATCACCTGAAATTATTAGAAGTTGACACAGTTAAGAGTAGCACATAAGCTCCTTGAAGTAGATAAGCATCATATCCCTAACTATTTTCCCTTTCACTAACCCCAAAGAATATGCAGCGATTCGTCTTCTTCGTTTTCGGGAGGAAGAGAGAAGGAGAAGTAATCAAAAAGAGAAATGAAACAAAGGATATTGAATCAGGGAAGCATAGGTCAAAAGCCAATCGAAACCTATCCGAGTTCTGAGTTCAAATCCGGCGAATTCAGAGCCGTAGAAAGATCGATTTCTCGTCAGGAATCTGAAATTCAATCCTTCTCCGGCAGAAACCGGGGAGCTAAAAAGCCGTCAAACGTGGTTCGCGGCG